TTCCCCTAAGGCAGTGGTGCTCGACCTTCTTCCATTCGCAACTGCTGGAGCTGGGAAAAAATGTTGTGCAAAAAAACCCAAATCAAAACCAAAACAAACCTGCAGCCCCTTTAATTGAAAGCGCCGGTCTGCTCCCCTGCCCCCACCCCCACTGTGTGTACATTGTTCACCAAGCTGGGAAAAGAAAATACCGGACGTGACCCCCCAGGACAGCGGGTTGCGCACCGCTGCCCTAAGACACTAGCACAGCGCTGGCTTCCTACCCTGTTACTGCAGTGACTAGTTACACAATTAGCATGGGCAGCCTTGCTTAGGGTTGTCACATTGTCATGATCACATTTGTGTCAAAATCCTCCATAACAGAAAACTGGTTCTCCCAGGAGAAGGAGGGAACTTACTGAGGGTGTTGAGATGTTTCCCTGCAACAGAAAACAAGCACAATTATTTGGAGATTTTTTTCAATTGCTCTAGATTTAAAGGAATCTTTCCGTTATGAATCCTCAAGTAACGACCAGGCTGCCCCTCTACCAAGCCATTGCAGCTCTCCAGGGATGGTCACACACATCACCTGGGCAGGCCTTTCTTTCAGGAATGTCACCTCCCACCCAGGCTTAGCCCATAGGGAAGGCCGAGGATGGAGGCCAGATGATGAACAAATCCTGCTCTGTTTGGAAAAGGCTGGTTTATGTCACAGCAAATACTTGTGGGGTTGAATCAGATCCTACGGTGCACACAGGTACATCCCAAGAGCCTATCCCAGTGTGGACTCACTGGGCAGAGCTCTTGGTGTGAATCAGGAGGGCTGGAGCCCAGAGGCCCAGCTGAGGAGGTGGTGGGGCTGAGGGACCGACTCTGAAGGAAGAGTGACCCCCCCTCTGGGATCTGGCTAAATAGCTTCCTGCAAGACTCAGCTGGGACTTAGCACCGATCCAATGGATCCGTGACACTTGCTTCCTAGAGAACCTCAAAACTTGGTGCCTTGCAAATTGACTCTATGTCTACATATGAAAGCTATTTCGGGATACCAGGGGTATCCCCAAATAGCTACCCCGTGTCTTCACAAGCCACTCCTATTTTCAAAATATTTTTCAAAATAATGGATGTGCTATTTTGACATCCTGGTTACCCTCATTCCATGGGGGATAAGGGATGTCTCGAAGTGGGGTGTTATTTCAAAAATTAAATGCTGGGTAGACAGCCTCTAATTTTGAAATAGCCTATTTTGTAATAAAGTTGAAGTACGTTTGCCATTTGCACAGTGCAAATTGCATATTTTAATTCGAGATAAGGGCGCTGTGTAGACACAGCCCTGAGCCCAAGACAAGGAGCAAACGGTCCTGTTCCTCGTTCAGCTTCCTCTTCCAAAATGCAGCCTGTCTGTCTGTCTGCCTCTGTCTGCCTCTGTCTGTCTGCCCCAAGCCTGGGCATTCATTCACATGTGAGTCTGAATACTGAAGCACCTGACAGTCTCCCACAGCAGCAGGACTAAGCCGTCCAGTCGTGCTGCAATAATCTGAACACAGGGGAAACGAACATCAGAAACTCCCCAGGGCCGGTGGGGGGCCCAGCGCCAAGCACATTGAACGTCAGTGGAGCTGAGACTCAGGCCTGGTCTGCCCTGGGGGTTTGGGTCGGACTGAGCCCCATGAGGTTGATTTTCCACCTGAAACTAAAGGGGCTGAGCCAGGCAGATCAAACGACAAAGGAGGCAAAGGGACGGTCGGAACTGCCCTGCCAACATGCTGCTTCTGTGAGCAGCCACATGGGACCCTTGGGGGGGCCCAACCAGCTTCCCCAGCCAGTGCCTGGATTCCTCCCAGGACACTCAGGCAGCCTTGGGCAGTGGTTGTAGCACAGCGAGGTGGGGGAGGGGAGAATGGGCAGCAGGCGAATGAGTCACCGAGAGCCAAGAACTTGTTATAACTTCAGAGATGTCTAAAGTCTCCCTAGGACGTCTCATCACCAGGCACTGATCCTGGGGAGGGCACTTCTGGAGGGTTTGTCTTGCTAAAAGGGAGTTTAGACAATCGGGTGAGATCTGCTAGTGAATGTGTCTGGAGATGGAGCAGAAATCCTCCCCGCACATCCCCATGAAGCTCTCACAGAGGAACTCTTTGATCCTTCTTGCAAGGTTTCTGGGGAGGCTGCCTTATTCCACCCTCCATGGTAGGGCACCTCCCCACGCCAAGCCAGCAGTGAGTGGCCTGGCATCATTGCGGCACAAAGCACTGTGGCCACATTCAATCAGCATCTGCTCCCTAGCTGTGTGATTCAGAGAAGACTGATGTCGTGCATGGTAATCTGGAGGAAGCAGGAGAATCTCTGTCACTGATTCCACAGTTTGCTAATGCCCAACAAAGCATAGTTTGAGCTTCTGTCCTGCTGCCATGCCCGGACCCCCTCCCGCTCCTGCCCGCAGGCTCCGTGGGAGAAGCTGTTCTCTGCAATATAAAACTGGCAGAAACCAATTGTAAAACCAGTTTCTGCTCATCCTCTTTTGATCGCATTGAACTTTTGATAATATCAAAGAGGGTATTAAATACCATCATGGTGCTACGAGTCCTAGCCTCTCCTCCCCCATTGCCTTCTCTCAGTCTCTCTCTATCTCGTCATATCACCTTTATGAACGTTGCTTGGTGCTTCCCCTGGCAGGGCCTCCTTTTCATTGGCTCACTAATTTCCAGACTCAAACCGTCTGGGCAGAAGGGTCCCTGTGGGGTGTCTGTCTCAGACTGAGCGCTCTGGAAAAGTGCCAGTCAGAATGGACCAACTCTTGCTGAGACAGGGGTGATGGAGTAATACATTGGGAGGGTGCAGGCGAAGTGAACGTTGCTTGGTGCTTCCCCTGGCAGGGCCTCCTTTTCATTGGCTCACTAATTTCCAGACTCAAACCGTCTGGGCAGAAGGGTCCCTGTGGGGTGTCTGTCTCAGACTGAGCGCTCTGGAAAAGTGCCAGTCAGAATGGACCAACTCTTGCTGAGACAGGGGTGATGGAGTAATACATTGGGAGGGTGCAGGCGAAGGCTCATGGCTGGGACAGGAGTTCGGGGTGCAGGGCACTTACAAGAAGCAGCTTCTTGGGGGTGGGGGTGGGAAGCAGATAGCCCACGACAGGCCACGCTGACCTGTGATTGCTTGTGGGCACCACCTCTTGCAGCTCCCATTGGTCAGGATTCCTGGCCAATGGGAGCTGCAGGAGCAAACCCTGCAGGCGAGGGCAGTGCAGGGAAGGAGCTTCCCTCAGCACATGGGGCAACATGGCTTCAGCCCAGTGGAAGGGGGGGGAGCCGGC